AAAAAAAAATTACTGCAAAGCGAATGAATATGTGGTATAGCAAAGAACACAGAATGTAGCAAATACAGCACAAAATATTAAGATAAAGTTCAATACAAACTTTTTAAAAATGGAGGTAGTTGATATAGGATAACTATATTTAAACTTTTTATAATGTATATGTATATTGAAAGAAGATTCTATAGTAGGTTTCCCTTTGACTTTTTCCAAAGGTCTTTAGTTTCCTGACCTCTAAGGATTTTCCAGTTGAAACACTCATTGTTATACCCATAGATTCCCATACTTCTCAACTCTTACCAGAGAAGCTACTTCTTCAGCAGCAGATGGTGATTAACACAGAGACATACAATTGCTTAAAACCCAGAGAATAAGAGACTGTGGAGTGCTCAGCCCTAAGTCGGTCACCTTTATCACACCCTCTCTTCCTAAGGCTCAGAGATCATTATAAAACAGGGAGTAGAAAGCTTGTAAGAAGCTAGAGGTGGTAGATGAATACAAGGAAACCATGCTGTCTGGACACCACAGGGTAGTGCACATATGAAACCACAGCTCTTGTGACAGCATGCACAAGACTTGTGCAAGCTCAAACCAGACGAAAGCCCAGCATAGATGGGAGAGATGGGCAAGAAGTCCCAACCCTAGCTGAGGATCTATTGGCAACTGACAGCTGCTGCGAGAGGGAAAGTCAGTTTCTTTTAACGTTGCAACACTTGACAGGTTGACCAGATTTCCGGTGATAGACCAACAGCATTTAGGGAACAAAGATTAGAATCAACAGGACTTTAAAAAAAGAAAAATAATAATAGAGGATGTGAAGTAGGGGGTGGGGAGTAGGGTAGTGGTGAGGGGGGAGGGGGGTCTGAATGTGATCAAATACATTATATTTGATTCTTGAATCAATAAAAATATTTTTAATGAAAGTACTTAATCTGTTAAAGTCTAACAAAATATGTACCCCAGAACTTTCCTCAGGAATGTTTGTACTGTGGAGCTGTAGGAGATGGAACATAGTAACACTGTCTTCCTCACATGTCCTCCCCAGAAAGCCATCAATGAAGAGCGGTTACATTTGGTCAGGTCACTTACCAGAGTATCTGCTGGATCTAAAATGTAGCTTGGGTTCATTGATAGTCGAGAATAACAGCAAAACAAATAAATAAATAAAAATAAACAAATCCAAAGTATAGACCACAGCAATTTTATTCCATCTTTGTTTTCCGTTTTATTCCTGAGTTGCTCAACAATTCAGTCACCACGCTAAAGAAGCAGAACAGAGCAGCGTGCAGTGAATCCGGATTGGATTATGCATAATGAAACGTCTGCTTATGAAACTTCTAAATGAGTGTTGTTAACCAGAAAATTCACAATATCTCAGGTAAGGACTACATTTATTTTAGTGGTCTTTCCCATCAATTTTTTTCTTTTTTGTCTTTTTGGGACAGGGTCTCCTTGTAGCCCCAGCTGTCCTGGGACTCACTATGTAGACCAGGCTGGCCTCGAACTCACAAAGATCTGCCTGCCTCTGCCTCCTGAGTGCTGGGATAGAAGGCATGCACCACCACGCCTGGCTTTCCCATCAATTTTAGTGAATTGCTACCACTTACTGGACACCACAATATTCTAGTTAATTATGTAATCAAGAGACATATTTTATGGACGAGACTAGGTAGGACCCTATTGTCAGTAACCTGGTCAGTGTAATACAATTACCAAGCAGTAAAAATGGGAAGAGGGCACAGTATGCTCTATGCTCCTCTTCTAATCATGTTGCTATAATTCTCTATTAAATTTAAAATCTATTTTTATTTTTGAAATTTTCTGCTAAGTATACCTAGAAAGATGGTCACTTGCGATTTAGTTGACCATGCATCCATAAGTACAATAAGATTAGTGATGTACACTCTATAATTGTTTATGTATATTTATGTTTAATA